AGACTGTGGAAAACATGAATGCTCAGAAAGCGTAAACTGAAAAGACAGTTTGGCACAAGAAGCGCCGGTGATCTTTCCCCTTCATATTTACGTGGATTCATGTACCACAACCGTTTTCGTGGAATATATATTTTTTTAAACTTTATTGTCAACTTGGTCGAGAACTATGCATAATTCCATTTTCACACATTATCTTCTATTTCAAAAAAATTGTTATAGTTTTTCTTTTTTTAAAATATTGTCTATTATTATGGGAATAAATACGTACTACCAATGTCATTAAAAATAATATAAGAATAGTTGTTTAAATAGCCCTTCCAACCGGAACAGCTGGATTTTTTCTTGGCCGACGCTCAAGTGGTCGATTACCAAATATTGACAACTTAAGAGATGGAATCTTGTGATTGATGAAATTTTAAATTAATATTTCAAAGTCAAAGTAGTGTTAATTCATTTTAATTTAATACAGTACAGCACTAGTACAGCCTAATTAATACTGGTAATTGAAAACAAGATAATCTACCACTTGAGCATCGCCAAGAAAAAAATCCAGTTGTTCCGGTTGGAAGGGCTATTTAAACAATTATTCTTATATTATTTTTAATGACATTGACATTGGTTGTATATATTCATTCCAATAATAATAGTTAATAGTACTAATACAATTAACACAAGACAATTTTTTTTTAAATAGAAAACTATAACAATTTTTTTGAAATAGAAGATATGTGAAAATGGAATTATGCAAAGTTCTCCCCCAAGTTGACAATGAAGTTTAAAAAAAGGAAATTTCCCGGAAAACGGTTGTCGTACATGAATTCACGTAAATATGGAGGGGAAAGATCACGGCTTGTGCCAAACTGTCTTACACTTTTTGAGCAGCCACATTTTTCACATTCTGTGTGGGGACATCCGCGTCATCTGGATAAAAAAAAATAATTTTGTTGATGCACCATCTTAGATGCTGAATATGGGGTCTGACAAATTCAGCAGTAGTGTGGACAGCCGCCATTCTTCTTCATTTCGTATCTGATCTGTATCAAACATTTCGGGCATCAGCACTATTGCAGTCTCTTTTTCTTCTTGGCATATCGGTAGTTGGCAGTAATAATTATTTATATGTTATAGTATTATGCTAAATAATTTTATAGCCTATACGGAAGCAAAAATATTAACAGACCCCAAGGTAAGAATAGTTGTTTAAATAGCCCTTCCAACCGGAACAACTGGATTTTTTCTTGGCCGACGCTCAAGTTGTAGATTACCAAAAACAATTACAAAGTTCTTTTTTTTGCTGGTCTTAGTCTGATCATTTGATTTTGAGAAATGGATTTTGATTTTATATCTTTTAAGCATTTTATTTATGGTGGAGCTTGTAATAAAGTGTGTAAAAGTGTATTTGATGAAACTGATAGTTGGGTTTTCATTATTTTGAAAATTTTAAATAATATGATTTTAAATTTTTTATTTAATTTTATGCATTTCTCAAGTAGTGCATAGATTTTAGTTTTGAAGATTTATGGGACTGATTTTTGCGTATGGCGGTATGGCCATGGGAGACTGATTTTTACGCTAGGGACTTTAAGCATTCATGCTAGATAGAGTGATAGATTTTTAGAGTGGAATGTTTTTAACAAAATAATTTTGTAATTAAATAAGAATAAGAATGGCTGTCTGAATGGGTACAAGTACCTAATGTAAACACGCTATGTTTTCGTTAGGGACTTGTGGTGTTAATTTTATTCTTTCCTTTGATGATTAGGTATATAGATATATTTATGTAAATTTAATTTATACTTATATTTATATAATGAATAATGATATTAATTATTTTTGTTATACTTATGGAGGCATTTGCCGAAGCGTTTACATTTGTATTCTGTGTATTTCAATTATGAGACTTGGGAGTCTAACTTTCTTCCAATTTCAAATAAAGAAGCATTTAAAATCCACTCTCGCAATGTTGTAGTCTGCAGAAGTTATACTATATTTATATACTATTAAAAATTTTATGATAATATTCAAAAGTAAAATCGTATTTAAACATGGTATATTAAATACATGTGAATTAAGCCAACCAAGTATATTTTCTATTAAATATTAATTAAGAGGCTTCCAGGGTGTAATGTAATGTGGGTATTTTGTTTTTAAAGAATCAACTTATTTCATTATTTATAGGGATTTTATTATTCATTACTGTCTTTATGTACTTGAACAAAATTTTAATTAAGCTCCCATCATACAGACCGTATGCGTGAGATCTGTGTAAAAGTACATTCAAATATACAGCTCACTTTTTCTGCCAGCAACCAGACTTTACGGCTCCACTTTTGGTCCATAATGGACATTACCTATGGGTTCCATGGAACCCTTGATGATGGTCTTAATCAGGGGTGGCCAACCTTTTCAGTAGGAGGGTCAATTTTCAGTAATGATATTTCATGCCGGTGGGCCACACACCTAATTTTTTTAAAAATCAAAGTAAACAAGCAAGCATGCTACAGCTTCGACTATGTATACCAGTATTTACTCTTTTGAAGAAAATAATACTTAACTGAGAGTCAAACAAATTTATTAGACAATTTTTAAATATTTGAAAGTGAGACATCTGATTTTGCCTTGCAGAGCTAAGTGCATTAAAATTGATTTCAACTGATGTTGTCGCTATATGAAAAAAGTGTTCCAAATGAGCATCAGTAATTTGTGTTCTCACTTGAGATTTGATGTGCTTCATTTCATACGACTAAAAAGCTGTTCGCACGCATAAGTATTTCCAAATAGCAAAACCATCAACAGCATGTTTTTAAAACGTAGGATATTTATTTGTGTCCCAATACTTGATGGAATTTCTTCTATAACTGTGTATCACAACACATTTCACAATGTTCCATTTATAATCTTCCTAGTAATAAATTGACGTCTACCTAGAATGGCTTTGTAAATGCATAAAAAGGGATCTGGAGGTGTTTTAAAAAATCCTGAAATCAGTTTTCAAATTTGAGCTTTTAGTCAGATATGAGAAAAGAATATTTATTCTTTGTCTTCAAACTCAGGGATATTTATTGACATGATTGTAAAGAAGATTGTATTTCTTGCTGCAAATCAAACATTATTTTCAACATTTTGGCACGGGTCGGCCATCTTACAACTGCATCAATTAACGTCATTATAATCCGAGTCCAAAGACATTAGAATTTCTCGGAACTAACGGTGATTCAACCCGTTCGACTTAATGAAGTTCACTCCTTTGACGACCACTTTCATGACATGGTCCATTGTAGGGACTTCAAACATAACCTCTCCTGATGAATAATGCAATGAAAATTTAGCATTGAGGTATTACTGACTTTGGAGCCCTCGTTTTTCCATAAATTTTACTAACCTTTGTGTTTCCCAACCATTGCTGGAGCACCATCCGTTGTTAAGACTAAACCTTTGTGTTTCCCAACCATTGCTGGAGCACCAACCGTTGTTAAGACTAAACCTTTGTGTTTCCCAACCATTGCTGGAGCACCATCCGTTGTTAAGACTAAACCTTTGTTTCCCAACCATTGCTAGAGCACCGAGATGTTAAGCCCGATAAGATGTTAAGTTGTAATGAAAAGTGATTCAAAGTCGATGTAACTGCCTCTAACAAATCTCGTGACTTAGTAGTGTCCTTAAGTGGAAACAGTGCCGCTAATTTAAAATGCGCATCAGCACCTCTGATAAAATTGCGAGCTGGGCAGTATCTGCCGTATCTGTGCTTTTATCCAATGCTAGAGCATAAAATATTAACTCGGATGCTCGACTTTTCAAATATCTTCAATATGTTTTCAAATGTCCACACGCCTGGTAATAATAGTCTGACAAGACTGACTTATTTTTTTGAGAATCCTTCTTCTTTTCTGGACACAGAATTTTCACAACTCTTTCCAAACATTCCTTATCCATTTCACCATCTGAATATGGCTTTGATTTTTTTGCTAGTATCATGGCTACTGCATAACAAGCTTTAACATAGCATATTGACTCTGAACCCGCTCTAGTAAATATCTTTTGTTGTGCAGAATTATATTTTAAAAGGCAATTACTTGGTCTTGTCAAAATTGCCCTTTGTACTTATCAAACTTATTTGCATGTTTAGTTTTGTGTCTCATTAAGCCGTTTGATGTTATAGTCGTTCAAAACAGAAACATATTCGTTGCATATAAAAAAATTGGCTTTTTTTTAATTTTCAAGAAAAAATTGTTTAAAGTTCACATGTCTTGAACACTTATTAATTCTTAAAATAGCTCAAAACCAAATAAATTTTTTTTAATGCGAGAAATTTCAAATTTCTCTTAACTATAATTAAAAAATATTTCATACGAACAACTCATGATATAATGTTTTTTTTGGTTATATTTACAATAAAGTTAACATTTATGTTCATTTGACACAGCTCCGTGAGCTGAAACATGATTCCCGCAGGCCTCATGTTGGCCATCCCTGGTCTAAATTATTGTCAGTTATTTTACCTTTTGATTTTTTTTTATAGGAGACTCAGACTCCAGTGAGGATGACCCTAAGACTAGGTATAAAGCAGTGAAGAAAACCACCAAAGCAACTCCTGGTACCAGCAGAGGTAGGCATATTCCAGTTCATATTACTATAGAGCAGAAAAATTATTATCTCCTCAAGAATATCAACTTATTGTCGTCATAAGCACATGCTTAAATTAGTTCATTACAAAAACAAGTTATTATTTCAGTTTCAAGTTAATTTCTTTCTTGAGTAAATCCAATGCATTCTTGACAAAATTTTTATTTTTAAATTGAAAAAAAAGAAACAACAGAATAATGCTGAGACCTAATATAGATGAAAATTAGTTCAATGGGCAAAGGAACAATTTATTTGTTCAGATTGGATATAACTGTACTAAAGTATTTAAGTGTCAAGATTTGCAATCATCTTATAATTCATTTTTTTCTCTTAATATCCAAATCAGGGACAACAATGTGTTATAAATGTGAAATTAAATGGTTTCAGGTAGTGGGCGTCATCATCCTCCTACAACTACAAAAAAACGCCTGCGTCCTGGAACCAGAGCGTTAATGGAGATTCGCAAATATCAAAAATCTACCAACTTGCTCCTTAGGAAGTTACCTTTTACAAGAATAGTAAGTCAACTGATTTATGTTTTCACCACTTTAAGGAAATGAATAACAGCAGTTTCCCGACAGCTTACATGGAATTTTCTATACTCTGTCCACCAAGGGAATAATTATTAGAAATGTTTTAACATTTGGTTAGCTCAAACCAACTCCTCTCAATTTCCGACTCCTGCAGTACTCTGCTTTTGAAGCTGCATTACATAACTGATCACTTATGCAGTCAAGTATTCATATTATTTGTATCCATCTCGTGTCTCTTTTAAGTTTAAATGCAACTTAATTATGTTTTAAAATGTTTTCAGGTGAGAGAAATAGGCCTTAAAGTAATGTCTAACACCATGGGTAGCATACAATGGCAATCATCAGCGTTATCTGCCTTACAAGAGGTTTGTCAGCTGTTTTTAAACTCTTCTGTGATCATGGTATTTTCTAAGGCCTTATGTAGTTGAATGTTGAAGAGCCCAGCAATTTGTTAAAAAAAAATTCATAAATGTTGCCACAAAGTGATAAACAAGAAATAGACAGTCATTTGGAAGCTTTGTTAAAACTTAATTTTCATTATTTCATCTTTAAAAATGGAAGAGGAATCTCTTTTTAATTATGACATTCTTAAAATTGTTTGTATTTTTGCAAGTTGAAAATTTGACCTATTTTTAAATATTACTTAAAAAATATCCCAAAAAAATAGAGTGTATATAAATATAAAAATTATTTTAAAAAAAAATTGCTAATTGAAAAAACCCATTCCTTAAAATTTGTGTCCGTTTTGCAGGCATCTGAAGCGTATCTGGTAAGACTTTTTGAAGATGCTAACCTCTGCTGCATTCATGCTAAACGTGTGACGCTCCAGCCAAAAGATATATGGTTAGCGCGGAAGATAGGTGGATATTACGATCTGTACGAACCTAGGGGATAATATTGTACATTGCTGCTGTTATTCTATGAACAGTTTTATTTGCGAATAATGTTAATTTGGCATGGTGGCTGATTGTAACTCCCAAGAATATTTGCTACTTCTTGAAATAAATTGAAGTTTATTTGCTGTCTAAGAATGTGTTCAGCTTCAAGCACATATTTTTACAGTGCAAGTGCCCTTTTCTACTTAGCCAGCCTAAATGCTCGATTTTATTTTAAAAATTTTAAAACTATGAATGGCTTGGGTTAATCGATACTGATACCATCATTTCTTAAATTGTTTTTTCTTGGCTGGATTTTAGATCTGTCAATGTAATATTCATGATTTTTAGCCTTTTTTTACCAGGGTTTTTTTAAATATATATTTTTTCCTGGCATTCTTTTATCATCATGTTCAATGATATTGTAAATTTAATGTAACATGCTTAGCTCGATACGCCATAAACAATGTCAGTCAGCATTTTATGTAACATACTTAGCTAGCTAAGCCATATACATTATAGGTCATCATCTTATACTATAACAATTTATCAAACCATGTGTCACTGAAAGCTCATTTTTAAGTACTTCAATACACAACAATCATTAACCGATTCTTATGTACCACAAATCAGACTAATTTCCTGTTAACTGTTTAAAAATATGTTTTTTCTACAAATACTACAATTTTCAATGGTGCAGTGAAACAAAATTTGAGTTTGTTGGTTGATTTTTTTTTGTTTGGGCGAATAAGGTGGGGACGCTTATTCATTGGTTTCATAGTGCAATCTGGACAAAAGTTTTGAAACCTTGCCATATATCTGTGAATCTTTGCCGTGTGGAGGAAATATACACTCTTTATTTCATGTTCTAATTTTCTTAGCCTTTTTGAAAAATAAAAATGAATTGATGAGATCTTCAATGTTTGATTAATTGAAAGGGTCTCAATTATATGTGAATGCAGATGCACGCATGTCCCTAAGATTCTCCACAGACAACCAGAATGTTTTGGTCAAGAAAAAAAACTAAAATAACTGTGGGCGTTTTAGTGATCAGGAAGCACAGTTTTTATTTAGGAGAAGAGAAATAAACAAAAATTATTTCCTCGATCCAATGACACCGTCCTAAATATTGCTGTATGTTTTTACTTATGTAATCTACACAATGTTCCCGTTAATGCACTTAACAATGGAATTTAGCCAATAGCTACAGAGTTCAATGTTATGTTTTTGTTATGAGCCGTTGAGAAATGGGTCTGATGTTACACTGTTCAAAGTTTTCTTTTCTCTTGTGAATAAAATTAGACTGACAAAATTATGGCATGGTGCACGTATTTAAGATGCATATATTTTTATATATTTTTGTTTTTTTGAAGTGTTTGAAATATTGTAATAACCACACTAAGAAGTATAAATAATATTTAAAAGTTTATGTCAATGGATTTTTTAAAAATTGTCCACTAACCCATATTTTTGTGTATTGTACAAACCTCATGATGGCTTTTAAAGTAATTTTAGCAGTAGGTATTGAGCTATGGCATTTTTTTTTTTTCCTTATTCAGTTTATCAAATAAAGCCTCAAAATTGTCCACTAACCCATATTTTTGTGTATTGTACAAACCTCATGATGGCTTTTAAAGTAATTTTAGCAGTAGGTATTGAGCTATGGCATTTTTTTTTTTTTTTCCTTATTCAGTTTATCAAATAAAGCCTCAAGATATTTTGTAAACTTAGAATAACTTGAATGTTTGATTCATTGGGATGAGAATGGAGTTCTGGGTTAGTAGATTTATCATCTTTTTAGGAAGTGAATAATGACAATGTCCAAACTGCAATTTCATCAAGTCAAAATTCTGCATTTCCCCATCACTTCACCATTTCTTTAAAGGTTATTTATGTCAATGATTACTGACTGCTTTGAATATTTTATTGGAGTAGTTTCATGTAAAATGTGTTCAAGTGACAAAGATATTTAATCATAATGTGAACTGTCCTTTTTGAAATTTTTCATAGCTTCAGATTTTTACGGCTAACTATAACTTGATATTTTTGTACACACAAATGTAAAAAAAAATTAACTTTTAAAACTTACTTCTTATCTGATATGGCACTTTAAATTTCTGTTGTAAGAAAAAATTTGTAATAAAATTTGATTTTAATATTATTGAAACACCATTTCTGTATTTGATTTGAGAATGTTGGACTAGTTATTCAAAACTAAAGATGCTTCTTGGATGCATGTTGTAGATCTGAGTTGGTCTTGGGGGTTATGTGGTTGTCCACATGTCTGAATTAATTTGGTACATGTAGTTGTAAGGCTGAGTTAATGAGTGGTAGGTAGGAATAAATAGGACAATGCCAGCTGATTGGCTCAGTGAGTAAATATAACAATGCCAGATGATTGGCTCATTGAGAAAATATAACAATATAACAATGCCAGATGATTAGCTCAGTGAGTAAATAGAACAATGCCAGATGATTGCCTCAGTCAGTAAATAGAACAATGCCAGATGATTGGCTCAGTGAGTAAATATAAATATACCAGATGATTGGCTCAGTGAGTAAATATAACAATGCCAGATGATAGCCTCAGTGAGTAAACTGAACAATGCCGGTTGGAGGAATGGAGCATAAAGCAAAAATTCGATGCAGTCCTGAGAACACATATTTTCATAATTAAATAATAAAATAAGTGCCCATGCATTCAGACGGCCCTGGGAAAGTGTCCATGCAATCAGACAAGCTGAGTAAGTGTCCATGAATTCAGACTGGGTAGTGTCCATGCATTCAAACGGACTGGGTAAATGCTAATGCATTCAGACGGACTGAGTAAGTGCCCATGCATTCAGTCGGCACTGGGTAAGTGTCCATACATTCAGACGGCCCTGGGTAAGTGTCCATGCATTCAAACGGCACTGGGTAGGTGTCCAGTGTGCTTATGCATTCAGAAGGCCCTGGGTAAGCGTCCATGCATTCAGACGGCACTGGGTAAGTGCCCATGCATTCAGTCGGCACTGGGTAAGTGCCCATGCATTCAGTCTGCACTGGGTAAGTGTCCATGCATTCAAACGGCACTGGGTAGGTGTCCAGGGTGCTTATGCATTCAGAAGGCCCTGGGTAAGTGTCTATGCATTCAGATGGCCCTGGTTAAGAGTTCATGCATTCAGACGGACTGAATAAGTGTCCATGCATTCAGACGGCACTGGGTAAGTGTCCATGCATTCAGACGGCCCTGGGTAAGTGTCCATGCATTCAGACGGTCCCGGGTAAGTGTCCATGCATTCAGACGGACCGGGTAAGTGCACATTCATTCAGGCGACACTGGATAAGTGTCCAGGGTGCCCATACATTCAGACGGCCATGGGTAAGTGACAATGCATTCAGACAGCACATGGTAAGGGTCCATGCATTCAGACGGCCCTGGGTAAGTGTCCATACATTCAGGTGGACTGGGTAAGTGTCCATGCATTAAAACGGATTGAGTACCCAATGAATTTAGAAGGACTGGGTAAGTGCCCAGGCTGCCCATGCATTCAGACGGACGTGGTAAGTGCCCATGCATTCAGACGGCCCTGGGTAAGTGCCTAGGGTGCCCATGCATTCAGACAGACGTGGTAAGTGCTCATGTATTCAGACGGCACTGGGTAAGTGCACAGGGTGCCCATGTATTCAGACGGCCCTGGGTAAGGGCCCAGGGTGCCCATGCATTCAGACGGCACTGGGTAAGTGCCCAGGATGCCCATGCATTCAGACGGCCCTGGGTAAGTGCCCAGGGTGCCCATGCATTCACAAAGCCCTCTGTAAGTGCCCAGGGTGCCCATGAATTCAGAAGGCACTGGGTAAGTGCCCAGGGTGCCCATGCATTCAGACGGACGTGGTAAGTGCCCATGCATTCTGACGGCAGTGGGTAAGTGCCCAGGGTGCCCATGCATTCAGACGGACCTGGGAAGTGCCCATGCATACCGACGCCAGTGCCCATGAATTCAGATGGCACTGGGTAAGTGCCCAGGGTGCCCATGCATTCAGACGGACGTGGTGAGTGCCCATGCATTCTGACGGCAGTGGGTAAGTGCCCAGGGTGCCCATGCATTCAGACGGACGTGGTAAGTGCCCATGCATACAGACGGCACTGGGTAAGTGCCCAGGGTGCCCATGCATTCAGACGGCCCTGGGTAAGTGACCAGGGTGCCCATGCATTCAGATGGACGTGGTAAGTGCCCATGCATTCAGACAGCACTGGGTAAGTGCACAGGGTGCCCATGCATTCAGAAGGCCCTGGGTAAGAGCCCAGGGTGCCCATGCATTCAGACGGCACTGGGTAAGTGCCCAGGATGCCCAAACATTCAGACGGCCCTGGGTAAGTGCCAAGGGTGCCCATGCATTCAGAAAGCCCTCTGTAAGTGCCCAGGGTGCCCAAGCATTCAGAAGGCACTGGGTAAGTGACCAGGGTGCCCATGCATTCAGACAGCACTGGGTAAGTGACCAGTGTGCCCATGCATTCAGACAGCACTGGGTAAGTGCCCAGGGTGCCCATGCATTCAGACAGCCCTGGGTAAGTGCCCAGGGTGCCCATGCATTCAGACAGCACTGGGTAAGTGACCAGGATGCCCATGCATTCAGACAGCACTGGGTAAGTGCCCAGGGTTCCCATGCATTCAGACAGCACTGGGAAAGTGCCCAGGGTGCCTATGCATTCACACAGCACTGGGAAAGTGCCCAGGGTGCCTATGCATTCACACAGCACTGGGTAAGTGACCAGGGTGCCCATGCATTCAGAAAGCACTGGGTAAGTGCCCAGGGTGCCCATGCATTCAGACAGCACTGGGTAAGTACCCAGGGTGCCCATGCATTCAGACAGCACTGGGTAAGTGCCCAGGCTGCCCATGCATTCAGACAGCACTGGGTAAGTGCCCAGGGTGCCCATGCATTCAGACAGCACTGGGTAAGTGCCCAGGGTGCCCATGCATTCAGACAGCACTGGGTAAGTGCCCAGGGTGCCCATGCATTCAGACAGCACTGGGTA